TGAGAGGTAGGGAGCCCAAAGCCTGGTGGCAAACCCACCGCCGGCCTCTCGAGCCAGCCCCGAGGGGCGAGCGAGGCAGGGCAGGGATGTGCTGCTGCTCTCGGCCCTGTGGCCACCCCAGGGAAAGGGCTGCCAACGGGGTTGGGGAGGGGAGGTGGGAAGTTCAGGGTGGGTTTGAAGGCAGGCATTCCTCCTGCCTTCCCTGGCACGTTGCTTTGTCCGTTCTGGCGACGGGAGTCCTGCGGATGCAGCACTGCTGCTCAACAGCGAGGGTGATGGGGTGCAGCATGACTTACAGCCCTTCGCTTTCGATACCCGACCCTCTGGGTGGGTAAGCTGGGTGTTTGGGACCCTCCAGCATTACCTCCTCCGGCGAGTCAGTGGAAAAGCGCGTTGGGAAAAGCTGGGGAGCTCCAGGGAAGCGTTGCTAAGCAAAACGGGGCGGGGAAAGAAAGCTGCTTTTCATCTGAGCTGTGCGACAGGCACAGAAGTGCCTGAAAACAGCCTTTTCTCTGCAGGAGTATGAGTGAAGGCAGGAAGAGCATATGGAAAAACTCCTGCCAAACTAGGCAGCTGGTCGGGCATGCAGCACCCGGTGCTGGGCAGAATGGCGCCCGCCGTCTTCTGCTCATGCATAAGTGTCATTTCTCCTTTCTTTCCGCCTTCCTCAGGAGCATTTTGCTTTTTGCAACTTCTTTCTCTCTGATCTGACCCCTGCTGGATCCCGACCACTTGTGGGGACATCTCGTGTTAGAGCCCATCAGCCAGGGATGACCCTTTCAGGGGGGTTTGCCAGGCTGGGCACCCCTCAGCAAACCTGTTCTTAACCCAGCTGAGGTGGGGCTTGGGTGGCAGAGCGATGCTGGGAAGGGATGATGCTACCAAGAGGGATGCAGCCAGCGGCTCGGCCAGTGGGGACGAAACGCTGTGGGCAACTACTCCGTCGCCACGCGTCGGGAAAGGCAGTGAGCTCCCATCCCACGGGAGGGAAGCCCTGGTCCCTGCATATCCTGCGGCCAGGGCACAGGGAGCGCTGCTCTTCTCACACTCTGACCTTTCTGCTGGCAAGACCCTGATTTTGGTTGCTTTTTTGCTGAAATTCTGCTGAAATGGCTGTAGCTCTGTCTCAGGCAGGAGGTGAGGGGGAATCCCCTTTGTCCATGTTAATATGTGGTGAACTTACTTGCCCTGAAAAAAAGTCACCACTCATGGGTACTCTGCAAAGATTTCCCAGATTTTTAGCGGCTCTTTTTTGGGAAGGAGTTAGGGATCAGGCACAGGGTAGCCTGGACCTTCCCTGAACCCACAGTTCTGCCAGTCGAGCTGGGTGTGAGGAGGAGATGGACCGGAAGCCAGAGAAGAAGACGGCATGGCTGGAAAAGCCTTGGAAAACATCAGCATGGTCTCTCCTGATGGGTTTCTAAGGGATTCTGTCAGCTGGATTTAAAAGAAAAAACCCTACAGCCACCACCAACGGAACAAAAAAAACAACCTGAAGAAATTGCCCGTGCCTCCCAGCTCGCTCTGAATGAACAATACATGGTCACCAAGCCAAACCACGTGCAGCCAGTAAATGCCAGAACTAAGGCAGCCGTGGTAACCTTGGCTCAGGCTGCCTTTGGTGTGCGTGGTAAGCAGGAGCCCTGCCTGCCGGCTGGCGTGCCCAGGCAGTGCCCAGGAGCAGGGGGGTCTTTTTGGGTGGCTGCCGCTGCCAGGGGCTGCTCTGCTCCCACAGCCCAAGGGGAAGGGGCTGGGGCTGAGCCAGGCAAGGAGAGACTGCACTATAAAGAAACGCTTTTGGGGTGAAGAGAAATTGGAAATGTCACTCTGGAGGAGGGGATGAGATCCCCGTCCCCCGAGCCTGCTCGCAGCATGCACAAGGATTTGCCTGAGTGAAGGAGTTCATAGAATCACAGAATGGTTTGGGTTGGAAGGGACCTTCAAGACCATCTAATTCCAACCCCCCTGCCATGGGCAGGGACACCTTCCACTACACCAGGTTGCTCGAAGCCTCATCCAGCCTGGCCTTGAACACTTCCAGGGATGGGGCAGCCACAACTTCTCTGGGCAACCTGTTCCATTGCCTCACCACCCTCAGAGGGAAGAGTTTCTTCCTTAGATCTCATCCAAATCTCCTCTCTTTCAGTTTAAAGCCATTGCCCCTTGTCCTATCACTACACGCCCTTGTCCAAACTCCCTCTCCAGCTTTCTTGTAATCCCTTCAGGTACTGGAAGGCTGCTAGAAGGTCTCCCTGGAGCCTTCTCTTCTCCAGACTGAAAAGCCCCAACTCTCTCAGCCTGTCTCCATAACAGAAGTGCTGCAGTCCTTGGATCATCTTTGTAGCCTCCTCTGGACTCACTCCAACAGCTCCATGTCCTTCTGATGCTGTGGATTCCAGAACTGAAGGCAGTACTGCAGGGGGGGTCTCACAAGAGCAGAGCAGAGGGGCAGAATCCCCTCCCTCAACCTGCTGCCCACGCTTCTTTGGATGCAGCTCAGGATACGGTTGGCTTTCTGGGCTGCAGAAAGTTCTCAGATGCTGACCCATTTATTTTTGCATTTTCCGTTTTCTGAGCCCAAACCTGGCTCTGGCCCATGGAAGTGGCCACATGTCCCCAGAGTTAAGGGCTCCTTAACCTCCGAGCACTTGGCCTCGTGGTGCTCACTGCGTTTACTTTAAGGTCATTTCCTCCTGCGTCATTTGGACGGTGAGCGACGCTTGTCTCTTCTGATGCAGCATCTCACTTTCCACTGGGCTCATCTCCGCCGGGGCATCTCATAGTTTCCAATTAGCAATCAAAGACATTTCGCTGATGTCTCCTCTCCCCTTTGTTGAGTGTTTTATCCGTGAACGTCTGGCTGCTGCCTACACAAACCCACGGGGCTCAATCCAAATCCGTACTTGCCGGGAGACTGTCCAGCCATGGACCAGTCTAACATCTCTCCATCAGACTCCTAACCCCCACATCTCTGCAGGAAGGTCAGCGTAATGCAGCTTCACCTCCAGCACAAGGGGCTGAGCCAAGGCGCTGCGTTGCAGAGGGTTGGCACAGTGGTATTTCCCCAGCCCTAGTCTCCGAGCTGGGGAGCTGCCGGCCTCAGGCGCAGCCCATCCAGGACTGGGGATGAGTGTGGGAGGGTGCACGGGAGCAAAATGATGGGTGCAAACTGCTCTGGGGACACAAATTCAGGGGGTATCTGGCTCAGTGGGGAAAGAACCGTGGCCATCGGGTGTTGGCTAAGAGCTCTGACGGATGAGGCTGGGGGAAGTTGGTTTGCATCACTATTTGCAGAGCTGGCTGAGAAACCTGCGGCCTGTCTAACCTGAAACCAGGTCAGAAGGATGCCTAACCCCGGTGGATTCTCGCCACAAGCAGGGTGAGGGTGTTACACTTTGCCCCAGCAAAAAACGAAAGGCGATGCTAGCACAACGCTGCAGCTCAACAGGTGGAGGTTCAAACAACTACTCCTTTTCTTTGGGGGAGAGGGAATAATCAAAAAAACCCCAAGTGACAATCAATTCAACAAAACCACATTTCTAGGGAAGAGAGAAGAGCCAAACCCCAGCGGCTTGCGGGGAGGACTTTGGACCTTCTCTAGTGAACACTTATTTATCGCTTCCAGAAAAGCTTCACTCAACGTGTGTGTGTGTGGGCTCATCACTAGATTTCTAGTGCTAGATTTCTCTGCCGGGTGGTTTGGCACTTCAGTTCAGGGCACAACTTTGCAGATATAGATCCTCCCTCTGTGCTTTGCCACAGCAAGGCAAAGCACACAGACTCCTGTCACCCTGTGTCACCGAAAACACGGCTGGGTGGACCTTGGACAACAAAGCAAGCCAAAAATCCATCAGGTTGGACAGCAGGTGGTTGTCTGTCCAGCTTCTAGGTGGTAACCACCCGTATCGCTTCTCTGTGTCATCTTGTGCACTGCAGGGAAGATGAGCACAGAGGACGCTGGCAATGGGACCCTTCCCACCCCACCTTTCCTTGGGCTTCTGGTTTCAACCACTGAGCTGGTCCCACCTGTTACCACATTCCCTGAGAAGGCAGACCCACTGGCCTTCATCATCACACTCGTCTGCATCTTCCTCCTCCTCGCGACCTTCCTCATCTTTGTCACCCTCTGCAAGCCGGCAGCACTGGACCAGTCCCACTCTGGGTCCCGTGAATGCATGCCCCATCACCCAGTGGATGCAAGCGAGCCCCAGCTGAGGCTGAGCTCCCTGAGATGTTCCATTAATACCTTCAGGAGGAGCCAGCCGATGTCCCAGAGCCAGCCGGCCTGCCCCAGGAGCTCCCCTGCCAGCCAGGACCGGGACATCATGGAGTCCACCAAAATGTGATCCTGCTCTAAGGGAACTAACTCACCCCGCACCGCTATTCTTCCCCAAGCTTTTGGTTCAGGCTCAGTTCCCTCCTCCAGCAGCCCGTGGTATCCTGAGCATCCTGGCAGAGCCGCTTTAAGCAGCTCGTTTCCAGGCAGCGGCTCTGCAAGGCGACAGGAGATTTTGCTATTTCAGGTTCCCGGACGCTTTCCAGGTTACCATTTCCTGGGAGGAAAGGTGGAGGCATCCGAACGACACCCACACATGGCTATGACCGCCCGGTCCAAAAAAATTCAGCTGCTTAATTTCTTGTGGAAAACATGGCGCAAGTTGCGAGGCACCTGAACAAACAGCCCAGGCGAGAGTGGAGCAACCTGGCAGCCTAACAAACATCACCTTGGAGAAAGGCATCCCGGGGCAAATGAATTCCACAAAAAGCAATCCTCAGCTGGGATTGCCTCCCGAGATGTGCTCCCGAGCAGGTGGTGGAAGGCTCATCCCCCTCCGTGTCCCCCACTTCCCCATGCAATGAGCTGTGGGTTGCTGTGGTTGATGCTTGGAAGGATGGAGGCTACGGCTGTCTGCTGGAAACCTGCTTCAATAATGGAGCAGCGGGAGCAGGTGAACACACCTGCAAATGCATTGAAGAGAACCTCTGGAGGCTGGTGGCTGCTTGGAAAGGCACCACACAAGGCCAAGCCTCTCGTTTCTGCTAGGAAAGGCTACAACGGCCAGCGGGTCATCTGAAGTGCTTAAAGGAATCAGTAGGAAAAAGAAAAAGGTGCTTAATTCTTCCAGCTCTGCAGCTCACACTACATTCAGTCATTGAGTTCAGCCCTTTGGGTGAAGTCTCCATGCCTGGTGAGTCCCCACAGCAAGAACCAAACCCCAGCTCTCTAGTTTTCCCATGATTTTGGACCTCTGCATCCGGACCTCCCCAGGCTGCCTGGGACATTCCCACTCCCCTCCGGCCCCGAGCTGCCTGGCTTTCGGAGAAGGGAACGGGGAAACCATCAAAAACCAACCATCTCTTCTTGCCACAGAGACACGGGGATGTATCTGAAGGGGGCGACGCTCAGTACAAATCTGTCACGCTGAAGGTGTCAATTAAACTAAACCCAGGTGATTGTCCCATTCCCACTTGCGTCTCATTTTGTTCAAATTTCCTCCCAAGCAACACCTCTCCTTTGCCCAGGACTGCCAAGGGCACCCCCCTCTTTTGGGAAGCGTGCTCTAAGAAGAGGGTCTTTGATGTCAGCCTGGGCTTTCCTCCATTTACAGCCTTTCTGTTTGCAAAAAGGCCTCAGTTTTAGGAGCAAGGCTCCCCCTCTCCCCTGCACACCTCCACCCCGGGGTGTGGGGGCTGACCCCTGAGACGGGCATCGCCTACTCCGTGCCACAGCACGACAGGTGACGGGGAGCCGCAGGGTTCACGCTTGGGGACCAGCCGCCCCGAGCACCATGTGACACGCGGTTCCCAGCAAACCTTTGTTGCAAGAGGGAAAAGGCTCCTTTCTTCTCTGCCTGCGAGAGCCAGGGACAAAGCTGCTCCTTTCCCCGCGCTGGGAGAGGTATTCAAGGCAGGAGGAGCCTTCCCAGGGCCCTCTCCAAAGGGCCTTTGGTGCCCGCTCCAGAAGAGCCCTGGGTTTGAAGGGATGCTGGAAGCCCTGGGAGGCTGCGTGAATGCCTGCATTCATCCGCCGCTCACTGAGCCATTCAGCTCTGCCCACCGCTCCCTCAAAGAGGAATAAAACCGACAGCAAAGTCCAAACGCTTTTCTCCCTCCGTTTTTCGCTCCCTGCTCTCAGAGCATCTCTTTGCATCCACCCTTCTCCCTGCCCCCTGAGGTCTCTGCTCTTGGCCCCTTCTCTGCTGGGAGGAGGGAGAAAACGGGGACGCAGGCAGGCAAAGGGTCTCACCAACACAGGGCTTGGGTTTTCTCCTCTCACCCCCCGCAGAAATGGGGGAATTGCTTATTTTTCCCTTGTGCTTTGCTGCCTTCTCCCTGCTGCCCGCAGCCTGAGTTAGCAAAAGAGCAGAGAAGCGTACAAGCAAGAGGACATCGTGCCCTGGCCTGGAGGAACAGATCGCTGATCTCCCAGAGATCCCATCTTCCCTGGGCTTCCCGCAGGTCACAGCCACAGTGCCAGGGCCCAGAAAGCAGGACACCCCGTTCGCCCACCCAGGGACCCTGGTTGGATAGAGCCACATGCCTGCACTATGCTGCTGGCGGCTGGGATGTCCTCGGGGACACTGACTTCGTAGCTGCTCTGAAGGAAGATGGGTCGGTTGTCATTGATATCCAGGACGGTCACGTAGACGGTAGCAGTCCCGGTGCGCCGGTTCCCGGTGGGGCCGTTGTCTGTACAGGAGAGAAAGGCGAGGGGAGGTTTGGTCACCTCCATCTCCTCCTGGCACAGGTGGTGCTCACCTTTCGACTGCTGAAAACAACAGGACCAAAATTTCTAAACTAAAATCCTCCGACTTTTCTGCAGCTTCTACATCCCACACTGAACCATGAGGGTTTTTTCTGCCTATCCTGAAAGAAAAAGGAAAACTCAAACCATTCCCAAGCTCTGCCATGGAGCTACTGCCCAACGAGGCTGGAAATGTAGCTGGTCTGTAAAGAGGGTTGCAACACCATAGACTGAGAGGGTGACGTATGCCGAGAGGGTCTGCTGGAGGTCAGGGATTTGGGAGGTGACGACGGGCAGGGGTCCCAGGAGTTTTCTGTAGACCCAGCTCAGCTCAGAGCCAAAGAGCATCAGGACCAGCAGACATTCCGTAGATAAGGACATGGCAGTGCAGCTCTGCGTTTTGCCATGAAGGATGAGGCGATGGGGGAGCATGGGTTGGATTTGGCTCTCCAAAACGCCTGATGCAAGTGAGCACTAAACCCACTCAGCTGGGATCTGGTTACTGGGAAAACACGGGCAATTTGATACCCATCGGAGGGGCCAAACGGACCCTTCACCACTTGGGATCCGGTCCTGCAGACCCCGTGGCACCCAAGATTTCTGACCAGGCCACTTATTTCTCCTTTCAAAAGGGACATTCAAGTCTTCTGTAAACACGCACATCATTATAAAGCTCTGGGGACGATGGCCAAGATGCATTTGGCACGTGGGCCCTCTACCTCTGCCAAGTGGCTCGGGATTAATCGGCAGCCATGGTGCCAAGGGCTGGCATGGCATTAGGGGAATGATGCTGTGGTGCTGGCATTTCTGGGTGGAGGTCTGCGCCGCACAGCACAGAGCCTCTCGGGAATGGGGGATCTTGTCTTCCTCAGGGAAAAGGGAAAGCCCCGGGGCTGGACGAGCCCGAACGGGGGAATTTACCATCCGCAAAAGTTGTGGTGGAACCGGGACATATTCAAGCACATGGGCTGTGAAGTGCTAACACCAAACACAGGCTCTGGTTTATAGAGCACCTCAAAAGTTGCTGTCTCTCTGCTGCGTTTCCAAGGCAGCGGTCCCACGGGAACGGTGGGAAACCCTTACCGATGGCCTCCAGGATCAGCGTGTACGATGCCACGGTCTCCCTGTCCAGACTCACAACCGTCCTGACCACCCCATCCCTGAAGCCGACGCTGAATTTGCCGTCCTGGTTCCCATCTGCACCAAAGGACAAGGAGTGGGTTACCCTCTGCCTGACCGCAGGGAGCAGAGCAGAGGTGAGTGCTACAGCCTGGGCACGGGCTCAGCTGGGCTGTGGAAATTGCAGGCGCTCAGCCTGCCCTCCCGAACGGCTGCGTTTTACGTGGTTTTGAGCAAGACAAGCGTAGGGCAAGCTTGTAGCTTGTCCCAGGCAAAGCTGGTCCGCAGCAAAAGTGGGCAAAGAGAGCAAAAGCACCTTCTCTCCGCTGCACCGAACGCAGTGCCTGCCTCCCAGCGCAGGCGAGGAGCGATGCTCATAGGAAAAGCTGAATCATATAAACACCAGATCATTTCCTGACTGCTTCGGAAGCAAACCGGGGTCACTTTGCACGTGGCCCGCGGCACCTGTGGGACAACACATCTTTTCTCCTGCGGGGGAGGCCAGAGAGGCCATGAGACGAAACCCAGGGCTGCTATCGTGAGAAAAACGAACTCTCCGGTGACGCTTCTATTTTTATCCTCTTCCTGGGGGCTAAAACACCGCACACACGGTTTTGCAAGTCAAAGAGTGGCCAGGGGCTTCCCCGGCGTCCCGCTGCAGGTGCCGCAGCTGCGGTGCAGGTCGGGCACTGCCCGGGCAGCATTGCCGCCTGTCTAGCCCCTGCCCACCCAAACCCAGCTGCACGTGGGGGCTACGACATGCCCTAAAGCTCCAGAGAGGATTCCAACCGTAAACAAACGTTACACGAATGCCGCCCCAGCTCTTGCTTCCCAGCAGTTTTCGGCCCATCCTCACACTTCTCCCAGCTGTATCATAGAATGGTTTGGGTTGGAACGGACCTTCAAGATCATCTAGTTCCCACTCCCCTGCCATGGGCAGGGACACCTTCCCCTAGAGCAAGTTGCTCAAAGCCTCATCTAACCTGGCCTTGAACATTTCCAGGGATGGGGGACAGCCATATCCCGGGGGTGTGAGAGGGCAGGGGATGCTCGGGGGCTGGGGTTCACCCCAGGGATAGCAGTGGAGCAGGGGGTGAGGTGGGGAGCCAAGCGGGGCTGTGCGGCAGAGGGCGATACCACACAAGGTTTGGAGGGGCTGGAAAAGGCAGCACGGATGCACGGAACACCCTGGTCGTGGTCTGGGGCAGCCCGCTCCTTCCCACAACCAAAGGTTCCCCGCGGAGCGTTTCGCGAGGGGTTCATACCTGTGATGAAGTAGCTGAGCTCAGCGTTCAGCCCAACGTCAGCATCTGTGCAATTGAGCCGGACCACTTTGAAATCCCTGGCCACGTTTTCAGGCAGCGACACGTTGTAGATGGCTGGGAAGAAGGTGGGGCTCTCGTCGTTCACGTCCAGAACTGAAAGGGAGAGCAGAGCTGAGTGTTCCCCCAGAGCTGCCTCTCCTGCTGATGCCAGGCTGAT